GCACGGGAAGCCGCCCAGGATCTCGCAAGAGCCTTTAAGGCCACAGTGCGGTTACGCCTGCATGGAGACCTGGTTTTGCCCTATCACCCTCCCTCTCTTTTATTGGGGTGGAATGTGCTCCATTGCGCAGTAGATAGGTAGTCAGTAGTTGTAACAGCTAGCCTTGTACTTGTGTACCTGGCCTTGCTAACATCCCTGCATCGGCCTTGCAGTCTACCTTCTCCATGAGAGTTGAGCTCGCTGCCTGTGCTGGTGTAGGGACCGGCTAGTTCCCTTTGGGGACCGCTTTCAGCTGAGGCTGAATGGGCCGTGTAATCCATATCCATATCCAGCTCAGTAATGCGGCGGTTATCAGTATTTATGAAGCAGTTACAATGAAAGGTCGTGAACATGGATGAATCATTGTCAAGAATCAACAAAACGCGTTGACAATGATTGCGAACGCGCCCACTGAGCTTCACGTAAGGTTCCCACCGGCATCAAAGTAAAGTGAAAATCCGGACCGTGTTCCTCTACCGTCTTCTACATCTTCTACTTCTACTTATAAACACACGCTTGCAATATTGAAGATATCAAGGAGCCGCCGCCGACTATTTTTTTATACAAAGCTATACAAAGGAAGGCTACGTATAGCCATCCAGTCGGCTCTTACAGTAATGCGAACGTCCTGAAGTCGATGCTGTATGTGCGCAACCCAACCTTACATAGTGACCGACATTTCTCAAACATCAACGTTATCAACCTTCAGGTGTCCGGTACATTTGTACGGAAAAATACCCCGAAAAATACCCCAGAGCCTCCCTGGACACAGTCATCGATACCATGGCGCCCCCAACCCAGTCACACTCCTTCCCAATTCCAAAGCGTCCTAGCGGACATGCGACACCTCCGTTCGAAAACCCTCGGCTCCCTACTTCCTTCGCACGCATTCTCGTTCTATTCCGGGTTCATCGACACCAATAGGCCTATGTATCAGATTCATTAGATTGAATCTTGATATACTTGATATCTTGTTGCCTATTATCTTCATGGATGGAACGACTGGGATTATCACTGCTGTTATCGATTGCGGCGGGGTTTTGGCCATGCAGGATGCATAACCCGGAATAAGCTTCGTCGAGATGGGATGCATAGCGTGTTGAGGCTTGTTTTTCTTGGAGAACGTCTCGAGGAGATCTAATTCGTGCATGTTCCACAAGAATTTCCTTTTTTGGAGATAGTTTGTCGAATGTGTTGCACTAAGATTCTCAATAGACATCCTATCCCGTTCTTTATTGTTCTTCGAGTACTCTGAGTGCCGAAATCAATACTCGGTTGCCAGTAAGTACTCAATTATCAAAGACGGAAGATGGTTGAATTTTATTTTGTTCCATAATAATACACAATGGGAAAACCACTTATCTGCTCTCGAGGGCTTCACAGGTGAAAGTCTGCGGTGGCAAAATATGTACGTCAGCTCGTCACTTTGGTACTTTGGTCTCCGAAGAGCAATGCTATGTAAGTACAACCGAAGGACAATGCTCAAACCATACACTCGAGATCGGTTGCCAGTATCACGATTGCGAATTCAGTGATTCTTTCATGAAATTCAGACTACTTGCTGCCCAGCTGAAAGCGTTTGTAGAGATCGTGTCAGTACTTTCAGGAATGGATAATGGATCCAGGTATGTGCGCTGTCCTCCTTTTCCTGTGGGCTGAATGATAAAACATTTCCCGAGATTGTGGCTTGCTTATTTCAATCTTCGAGTAAGCAACTTGAACCTTTCCAAACCTTTCGCTGACCTCATATTGACCTCTCAATGCCTCAGTTCATGTTGCCTTAGTTCATGTATGGCACCGAGGCAAGTATTTATCAAACCATTGAACATCCATGCCAGCCGAATAGGAACGGACATTGATAGTATCCGAATATGATTATACTTACTGGAAAAATAACGGAGGGAGACAGACGGTGCACAAACACTTCCCGACCGCCCTGCAAAGGTATATAAAAGCTAGTCCAAAGTTGGGGAAAGATCCTCATTCGAACAGCCCACAGCCATCGTCCAGAAAAACCTCACAACTACTCACTATGTTCAAACTTGCCTTTGCCGCTACCGTTCTTGCTACTGTTGCAGTTATACCGCCCTAACGTGGGCTGGTAAGTTATCTCACTTTTGCATATCCATTGAAGCTTGATTCTCATGATTAATTTCGATAGTGATGATGATAGTCGAGTCTTCTGTTGTGAGATCTTTGGTAAGTAACATGAAGAATACTTGTGAATTGCGAGTGCATTACTGAAGTCCTGCAGAGGGCGAGTTTGGCACCTCATGCGTTGCCGCCACCCCTATCTACGACAGAGATTAACACTCAAACTCTGCTACCACAGCATGTATCACCAGCTTATTAGAGTACTTGTCGGTGGTATATCATGGCCTCGTCGTTGGAATTTGGTTATCTAAAATTATTCTTTGTAAACTCGAGCTTGTGTGGATTTTATTGGAGGAAAATTCGGACAATTTGTAACTTGTTATGTGTTAATAATGCTAATGAGGATCTATTCGGTGGGTCGTGCCAGGAGGTTGTACGCCGCCATAGCTGATTGAAGGCTTGGCAAAAAGCGAATCCTAATTGGGTTTGCGCAGTGACCAATTTGTGCCAGGGTTAGCAAACCCTCTGACAAAGTCTCTGGTTGAACAGAACAGCGTCATTTAGCCGTGGGTGTATGAATACTATATAAACGCCAGATAGTGGCAACAGAGAATTTGCGCAGGAGGCACGCTCTTGAAGGACACGTGACGCTGGGTTTTCTGAAATGAAAAGCGTGTTGGATTTGGGATTTGTCATTCCAAGCTCGTAATCTTACGTAGGTACAAAACTGTAGTCAGCGGATGCTTCTGCATCCGTTTGTCTCTCTCTTCTGACCGTCACGGAGAGGACAACCGGAAATACACTTGTTGCTGTCTGTTTACCCTCAGGAGCCTATCACAACAAAGCGTTCCAACTTCTAGTACGTCTTCTACTTCTACTTCCACTTGGCCTTCTAACTGTGAATACAGCGGGTACAATGGCTCTCTCAATCTAGACTCATGAATCATGATCATACGCTCTCGATATTGAACATGCCTGATACATACACAACTCTAGACAGACGGCGCCACCGTCGCCTCGCTTTCACCCGCTATCTACAAAGGCTACGTCCGTGTAGTCATCCAATCGGCTCCTAACTACATGAACGTTCTGGTCACTCGAGTCGATGATGTATGCCGCTGCGCATAGCCATTACATTGGAGACTGTCAGATTTTATTTATTTTGGCAGCTAATCACGATCAATGTTTCAAAATTTGGGTCGTCTAGTGGTACATCTGCGATACCATGATGCCCTAACAACTCAGCCACATCGCGTTCCAACTCCAAACCATCCTAGAATAGATGCGACACCCCCGCCGTTCGAAAACCCTCGGCTCCCTACCACAACACTTTCTTTTTTCTGCCATAGGTTCTTTTCTAATACGCATTCTCGTCCTATTCCGAGTTTATTGACAGGTATCATTAATTCATTGCTTATATCTTGCTCTACTTCAATACACAGACACCTTCATGATGGAGGACCTGTTATCTTCATGGTGGATGGAACAATTACTATCACCGCTGTTATTGGTTGGGTGATGGCAGGTTTTTTTCCAGGATATTGGGGGTAAGTATTGCAGAAAGTATCAGAGGTATTGCAGGATGCTTGGGGCTTGTATTTCCTGGCGGCATCTTGGAGTATGAAAAATGCTGTTCCTCTTGTATGTGCGCAACCCAACCTTTACATCGAGGATCCTCAATCCTCAGTGACCAACATTTCTCAAACATCTAGTCCAGTCAACTCCTGACGTGAACGTCCTGATCCTTGCAAGTCGACGCTCTACTAATGTGCGCAACTATTACATCGAGGATTCTCAGATTCAAAATGTTGACGTTCAACCTTCAGGGGTCTGGTACATCTGTATAGAGAAATGCACTGGAGCCTCTGGACACAGTCATCAGTACCACGACCCAACAACTCACAAAACATCCTAGTGGAGATGTGATACCTCGGCTCCCTACCACGGCGCATTTTCTCCCCGCCACATGTTCTTTCTCGCATGCATTCTCGTCCTAGCCTCCCCAAGTTCATCGTCAGGCCTAGGTATCATTAAAATGTCATCTTCCTCCACTTTTTCCCAGAAACATTCATGGAGAACCTGCTATCTTTGTCATGGTGGATGGAACGACAGGCTGGGACAATCACCGCTGTTATTGGCTGGGCGACGGTGGGGTTTTGGATCCTTGAGGCTTGTATCTCCTGGCGGCATCTCAGAGTATGAAAAATTAAAAATGAAATCAGAGTAAAGTTGTTCCTCTCGTTATGTTCTACCCGGTACCGCCATCTACGCACCTTCTACGCACCCTCGACTGCGAGTAGAATGGTTGCTTCAACAGGCTAAGCTCGTGCTCATACTCATGCACTCACGACTCTTGAGGATAGTCGATATTCAATACTCGATGCCATGTGCAACTCTAGATCCCCAATTAACAGCCGACGCCAGACCTCTAGCTCCCTCCCACTTACGAGGACCTAAACAGTCTCATACTGACTCACGCTATCTACACAGGCTATGCTCGAATCATCGAGACGGTTCCTAATGCGTAATGTCCTGATCAACTTGAAGTGCAAAGGCGAACTTGGGGAGGAGATCCTTGCGTTGCGCGTTTTAGATTGTTCCGTGTCCCACTAATGACCATGTCCGTACGCCAGGAGCTACCTTGAAGACGCCGCTTACAATGACAGTTGCATATGCTGTCACCAACTCAGCCATGGGGCTTATAAGTTATATAATGTTAAATGTAATGTGGATAGGGGAATAACAGAGGAGTCATGGAATATTAATGGAGGATAACAGAGAGCTCGAAGAAACACTTGAAAAAAAAACATTTGAATTTTGAAGCAAAAGCAAAAATTCAAGTTGTAGTCCTTGAGGTGAAGGCGCAACGCCACTGAAAGGCTCGAACTCTCGACTTTCCGATGTTAAAGCAGCAGTGCTATATGCACATGGACCATAACAGTGAGAAGCTGTGGCCAACTCAGCCATGTGGCAGCTGTTAAGTAGATAGTATTAGTCAATGATCAGTCAAAATCTACTTAGGCTTTGAATCCCCTTCCCTCCCCCCACCTTGACAATTGACTTTGAGGACTACCAGTTTAAACTGTTGCCCATGGGCGACCCAAGCAGCATTGAACTTGCTAGTTAAGTCTGATAACAGTCTTATCAGAACATTATTAGTAGGATTAGGATTCTGAATTGATTCTGAAGGGAACATATATAAAAAGCATAATAAACATCCAAAAACTTGGTAATACCCTAAGTTGGGTCCGGTCCGTGTTCGTTCTGCATCAGCTGCCCCAGTGAAGCTCGAACTCTCGACCTTCCGACGTTAAAGTAAAGATATCAAACTTACCAGCCATGGGGCAGTCATTACTGAGAAGTTAGTACTAGTCAATAAAAGGCCATGAACTGATCCCAGATGAGCTAAGAATTAACAGAAACCTACGAAAACGCGTTGAAAAGTTGAAATTCTGGTGAACGCGTTTACGCACTTAGAGCGTCACGTCAGGTACATCATATGGCATCATTGATGAAAAAAGAACGACCGCGTATCCTCTCGTTCTGCCTTCTATGTGGCTTCCACTGCGTACAATGGCTGCTTCCTAGGCTTATGCTCACGCGCTCGCGACTTTGAAGATACTCGATATTGCCATGCACAGGTCATATCCATGCGCAACTTAACAACCAACCAGATCTATGGCTTCCAAGCACGCATGCGGAACTACACCAACTTGTATCAACCCACGCCATCTTCAATGGCTGGATCTGCGAAGTCATCGAATCGGCTCCTAGCATCCTGATCAGATATACGGAAGCAAATTCGCAGAAGAGGTCTGGGCGATGCAATATGCTCGCAAGCATTTCCAGTCTTTTAGTGTTCCATGAATCCTTTATCACCCGCCACTTTGTCGAGGATCCTCAGCCCATGCTACTGGCGATCACGCTACGGGCATTTGGTATGCCTGTATGGAAAAATGCTCTGAGGTCTCTAGACACGGTTATCGGTACCGTGACACCCAGAACTCACCCACTTCGCTTCACAACTCCAAACCGTCCTCTCCGAGATGCAGAAGCATGTTCAAAGACCCACCGCACGTTCTTCCCGCCCACGCATTCTCCTCGTATTCCGAGTTTGTCGAAAGGTACCGCTACATCCTGCTTCACTTTTGCACGGACATGTTCACGGAGGACTCCTTCCTTGCCACGCTCTGATACGGTTTGTGCGCGCAGATTTGCTCCCGCGAAACATCATGGTGGATATCACTGCTGTTGGGCAATGGCAGGATTTTGGCTGGGGTATTGGGAGTGTCGCAGGAGGCATAAACCGGGATGGGCGCCGCCGGGATGGGATAGTGTATCGGGGCTTGTTTTTCCTTCCGCAAGAATTTCAGTTTCTGGAGCTAATGTCGTGTAAGTAAGTTTACACTGAGCTGCCGACGTCGTTTCCTTCATCGACATTGTCTACTCCTTTCACCGAATCAACGTTCCAGCCACCGACGTATCACCCGTTCAAATACACAAGAAACATTTAAGTTCAGGCTCTGCACAAAAACCGAGAAGATGCGCCATGGCTGTGGTGGACCACACTACTGCCTTCCTGGACCCTTTCCCATCCGGCTTCCAGACTTTCAACTGTAACAGGCATTGAGTCTACCAGCCGTAATACCTTGTATCGCATACTAGACTTGTGGTAGCGTCTTTCATATACCTTCGATGTTAGAGTTCTGTTATATGGCTGAGTTGGATATTGCACCAGAACTCTAACAAAACATCTGACTCTGAGAGTACTACCATGTAGTAGTATCTCAGATCCTATGTCCCTCGGATGTACTCGAGTAGCCGGTTATATGCTGAGTGGGCACCATCCCACTGGTCTACCTTGACCTGGTCAGGTTACTAATTACTGGCTCAGTGGCTCTTACAACCCACGACCTCAAGGTAAACCCTCACTCAATCTATCTCAGAGTCAGATGTTTTGTTAGAGTTTTGGTGCAATATCCAACTCAGCCATGTAACCGGTTATATGGCTGAGTTGGATATTGCACCAGAACTCTAACAGATCGTAGTTGAACAGATGTAGTTGCGTCATGATTTATTCCTTTTACAAGGTTGCCTAAGTTGTCCATTAAGATTAGAAGTAGGATGAAATCATGAAAGGATCGAGCTGGCGAGTCGGAGCTCTGGTTAACTTTTAAGTCACGAAGAGTCACGTTGCAGTCACCTCTGTCATGATCATCTGACGAAATTGCAACTTTTCTTACGCTGGAAATTGGAGTTCCAATTTCAACTTTGAACGTCCCTACTGATCTGCCGGGTATTCTATGTAGGTTGAATTATAATGGACGTCCTATCCAGTTCTCTATTTTTCTCCGAGGAGAGCAATGCTAATGCCAAACGAACTCTCAAATTCCAATCCTCGGTTGCTAGTGAGATCACATTGGGATGTCACGCAACCACTTCTCTGTTTTGGAGGGCTTCACCAGTCTGCGGTCGTAAAATATGTATGTCAGCCTCGCCATTTTGGTTTCCGAAGAGTAAGTTCCGAAGAGCAATGCCAAACCGTACTACACTCAAGTCATACTCGGTTCAACGTTGCCAGTATTAAGTATTACAGTCATCTATGACCATTTGGGATGCCATGGTCATTTGGGACAAGTCAAATTATCACACGAAAGATGTATATATCAGCCTCGGAAATCTGGTTGCTGTGAAGAAATAAACAATACCTTCAATTTGTATGAACCTCTACAGGGATAAGTCGAGAGGTTTCATTGCAAGGAAGTCGAAAGTGGTATTTGGGACGCGTGACCAATTTTAATCAGACAATTACACTGTCTATGTATCTCGAGGTGTCATCGAAATTGGCTATATCAGAAACAATACTACTTGAAACTATGGATTCTGAACCTTACTTGGAGTGCGTAGTCACTGATTCCTTGATAGTTTGAAGAACTGTGGAATCAGCGGAAGAGGCCGTCACATCGCAATTCCAAAAGGGGAAGTGATAACGGAGAGGCAATTCATCCTGATTGTTTCCGTACCTACATATAGCTTATCTTCTGATCTTATCAGCGTGAGCTGTCACATCCCAAATGCCCATTTTTTATTGATAACAAACTTTTCTGCTGATTTTACTCTGGCACAACTGTTATAATTCTGATATCCATTGGAAGTGAGCAAACATCTTCTATCATACCTACTCTACATGCCTAGCATCACAAAAGCATGGATTCAGTACACTAACATATTAATTTTCCATGAGAAAGATTTGAGTGTCCCAAATGGCCATAGATGACTGTACTACATATGACCGCGAATTCGGTGATTATTTCATGAAAGACCCGAATAGGAATGGACATTGAATAGTATCCGAATAAGAACATACTTACTGGAAACATAACAGAGAGCAAAATGGAGAGAAAAACGGCCCCGAGCGCCTTTGTCGGAAGGTATAAAAGCTAGTCCAAAGTTGGGCAAAGATCCTCGTCCGAACAGCCAGCAGCCGTTGTTCAGATAAACCCCACCACCACTCACTCACTATGTTCAAAGTCGCCTTTGTAACTACCATCCTCGCTACTGCCGTCCTCGCTACTGCTGCAGTTGCTGCTACCCCTGATGTGCCAGATTCCCGCCCTCAGGAATACACCTGTCCTACTACTACTTATAGACCCACTCGAAGTGTGTGTTGCACCAGACTTGTCACCAATGAAGCTGGCAATATACTGCAAGCTGCATGTGAGCCTTACAATACTGACCTTCGCTGGTAAGTTATCTCACTTTTGTGTATCCATTGAAGCTCAATTCTCATTATTTTTGATAGCGATGCTCCTGGACAAGTCCTCTGTTGTGAGAACGTTTGTGAGTAGCACAAAGAATGACTGTGAATTGTGACTGCATTACTGAAGTCCTGCAGATCCCGCAGGCTTCCCACCGTTGGTTGGCACATCATGTGTTCACGCCATCCCCTCCCCCGCTAGAGCTTAGCGCTCAAGCTCTGCTACCACAGCCTATAACACCAGTTAATTAGAGTACCTTGTCGGTGGTATATCATGGCCTCGTCGTTGGAACCTGGTTATCTAGGATTGTTTTTTTAAATCCAAGCCTAGGTGGATTATATGGAGGAAAATCAGGAAATTAATATTAATTTGTTATGTGTAATTCGAGCGCGAAAAATAACAACACTAAGCTGAGCCTTTGTGAGATGCCCGTGTAAACAATGAGCCTCTATTTGGTGGGTTGTTTCAGGAGGCTGTACACCGCTGTAGCTAATGAAGGCTTGACAGAAACCAAATCCTAATTGGCTTTGTGCAGTGACCAATCTGTACCCGGGTTACTAGCAAGCCCTTTGACGAAGTTGTTCGGTATGTATAGAAAAATGCCCCGGAGTCTCTCTGGACCCAGCGATCAATACCCTCAACTTAGTCACATTGCCTCTCAGCTCCAAAACCTCCTAGCAGAGATGTGGCACCAGGTGATCCCTTCAAAACCCCTCGACCTCCTCCCACAACGCCTTTTTTTTTTTTCCGCTACACGTTCTTCCCTCATATGCATTCCTGTCTTATTCCGAGTTCTTGTCCTATTCCGAGTTCATCGTCAGGCCTAGATATCATTATATTTTGTTGGTGTTTTGATTATATTACTTACATCTTGCTTCACTTTTGCCCCAGAAAACTTGATGAAGAACCTGTTATCTTCATATCTTCATGGCGGATGGAGCGAATGGCTACGGTTATTGGTATTGGTTGGGCGACACCGGGGTTTTAGCTGGGATATTGGGAGTATTGCAGAAAGTATTACAGGTATTGCAGGATCCCTGGTGCTTGTATTTCCCGGCGGCATCTTGGAGTATGAAAAATGAAAAAAAATAATATCCCTCTCGCTTTGTTCTACAATCTTCTATGCACCTTCTACGTGTCCTCCAGAGTTCAAATGCGAGTAGAATGGTTGCTTCGATCAAGACCTATCCTCATGCTCATGCACTCACAATTGTTGAAGATACTCGATGCCATGCGCAACTCTAGATCCCCGAGCAGCCACTGTTACCAGATCTCTAGCTCCCTCCCACTTATAAGGACTTAAACCCTGATCAGTCTTATACCAGCTCACACTACTTACCTACAAAGGCTACGCCCGTGGAATCATCGAGACGGTTCCTAATGTGTAATGTCCGGATCAAGTACAGAGGCAAATTTGGGGAGGAGATCCTCCCATTGCTCAACACTGAACAAGCGTTTTGGATTTTGCGCGCGCCCCTAAAATCCCGCTGTTAAGCTTTGTGCTTCTTATCACGATTCACATCAGGGACTATTGCTCACACTAATGATCATATCACTCCGTATGCCGGGAGCTACCTTCAAGGTTCCCAATTTGAAGGCTCACAATTTGCTCACAATCACATTTGCAGATGCTGTCACCAACTCAGCCATGGGGCTTACAAGTTATATAATGGAATGTTGATGTGTGAATACTTGTGTGAATAACAGGAATACAGAGGAATAATAGGATAGTAGATACTGACAGAGGAGAAACAGAAGCAAAAGCAAAAATTAGGGTGGAAGGCAGGTGTAATGCCACTGAAAGGCTCGAACTCTCGACTTTCCGATGTTAAAGCAGCGGTGCTATATGCAGGACCATAATGGCCAAACGCTGTGGCCAACTCGGCTATGTGGCAGTTGTTACAGTATGTAGCGGATAGTAGTAGTAAGTAGTCAATGATCGGTCATCAACCAGAGTACTAGGCTTTGAATCCCCACTTGAGTTAACTAAATTGAAGACTACCAGTTTAAAACTGTTACCCTTGCCGCCTTGTGCAACCCAAGCAGCCAAGTCTAACAACAGTCTTAGCAGAGCCTAGAAGATTTGGCTGTGATTCAAAAACTTGTCAAAAACATTTCAGGAAACATTTGAACAAAAGAATAAGAAAGATAAGAAACATCCAATAACTTGATAATACCTGGTATGGAGTTTCTGTAACTTCCTTCAAGATCAACTGCCCAGAGAGGCTTGAACTCTCGACCTTCCGATGTTAAAGCAATGGGATATAATATATGCATGAATATAACAGTCGGACACTGTGACCAACTCAGCCATGGGGCAGTTCTAGTAATCACTGAACAGTTAGTATGGTAGCTAATAAAATTTGAAAGGCCATGAATCTGGATAAATCGAGATATCAACGGAAACCTTACCAAGACGCGTGTAAAGCTTTGATATTTCTGTTGAACGTGTATAGTATTTACGCGTTTACGCGGGCGCTTACACACCCACATAAGCCTCACGTAATGTACACGTAAGGTTCCCATGGTTGAAAGAAACGGACCGTGTTCCTCTCGCTTGCTCTGTACCTGCTCTGTGCCTTCCAACGTGCCTTCCTGCTGTGAGTACAATGGCTGCTTCAAGCTAGGCTTGTGCTCATGCGCTTGGCAAGATCTTGAACATATTAGATATCCTACACCCTTGTGCACTTCGACATCTAAACAACCACCAGATCTCTGGAGTCTGGCCTAGTCTGGCTTCCAAACATCTATACAGAACTATTGGACAAGGTTATCGATACCATGACCCCCCAAGAACTCACCCGAATCGTTTCACAGCTCCAACAAATCCTCTCTGAGATACACAAGCCCCGGTCAGAAACTCTAGGCTCGAGCTCCATCTACCCCAACTCGTTGTTTTCACCGCACGTTCTTCCCATCCCACGCATTCTATTCCGAGCTCATAGACATGTACCGCCTCATAGCCGACGGAAACCTTCACGGAGAACTTGTTATCGAAACTTCCTTGCCACGCTCCGATACAGTTTGCGCACGTGCACGTGGATGGAACGCTATGGAACGACCGCAGGATTTTGGTTGTGGGACGCATAACTCAGACTGGGCGTCGGCGGGATTGGATCGGGTGTTGGGGCTTGTTTTTCCTGGGGAGGAGATGTAAATCGTGCGTGTTCCACGAGAATTTCCTTTTTTGGAGCTAATCTGTCGTGTAAGTGTGTAAAGTTGCACTGAGCTTTCCGACTGCAAGTACAATGGCTGCTTCCGCTCGCGACTTTAGAGATACTCGATACCCATGCGCAACTCTAGATCTAAAAGTAAACAACAACCAGCATGCGGAACTACATCGTCTTGTCTCAACCCACGCTATCTACAAAGGCTGGGTCCGAGTAGTCATCGAGTCGCCTCCTAAAGCTTAAAGCTAAAGGCCTAAAGCTTTAAAGGCCTAACGCGAACTACAGAGAAGGAGGCAAATTTGCAGAAGAGACTAGTCTTTTCGTGTCCCACGAATCTTTCATCACGCGCCACTTCGTCGAGGATCCTCAGCTCATACTAGTACCGTCGATCATCCTGCGGGCGTTTGGTATACCTATATGGAAAATGCCTCGGGGTCTCTCGACAATGTTATTGATACCATGACACTCCAAAAACTCACTCACATCACTTCACAGATCCAGAAAATTCTCTCTGAGATGCAGAAACTTTGTTCCAAGACCCTAGGCCCTAGGCTCCATCACCTCGTTTTTTCCTACACACGTTCTTTCTTCCCATACATTCTCCTCTTATTCCGACAGGTACCGATTCATCCTACTGCACTTTTGCACGGACTCTCTAAACCTCCTCGCCACGCTCCGATACAGCTTGCGCACGCTGATTTGCTCCTGTGAAATATCATGGTGGATGGGACGACTATTACAGCTGTTATTGATAGGGCGATGGCGGGGTTTTTTGCCGGGTTACTGGGAGTATTGCAGGATGTATAACCCGGAAGCGGCTTCCCCCAGATGGGATCGCGTGTTGGGACTTGTTTTCCTTGAGGAACGTCGCGAGGAGATCTATATCATACGTGTTGCACAAGAATTTCCTTTCCTGGAACTATCGCGCAAGTTTGTACTGAGCTAACGTGGTTTCCTTCATTGACATCGCCACTCCTTTCAACGTTCTAGCCACCAACGTATCACCGATCCATATACACAAGAACTTGTGAATTCAGGTTCTGGGAGCATGCGCAGTACCATGACTGTGGCGGACCAGAACCACTACTGCCTTCCCTTTCTATCTATGATTTCTAGGCTGACCGGCAACCTGAGGATCCCTAACGTTTCAACGCATATTTTGCGACATAGCAAGAATCTACTAGCGGTAGTATTTCTGTATCGCTGTATCGCACACCAGTTATTAAATTTCATCGTCTTTATTTCAACGTCTTTCGTATACTGCTATTGCTCAGAAGTAACTTTAAAAAAAGCGATAAGGACTTGATGAGGACTTTGGACTTGTAACTTGTAAGCTGCTATATGCGCTACATCCAAAGTACTTAGCTGTACTGCTCGAAGTAAAGACTTGATGTGAACTTTAAACTTAGTCTTGGAACTCATACTGAGGAAAGGCTGTAGATGATATGCCGCAAAAGCTCGGGAGTAATAAGAATACCAATGTGAATATCAAACATTGAAGAGGAAAACACTAATCGTCAAGGTCAAAATCAGGATGGGACCAAATCGAGAGACACATGACCCACCTTGCTCTGTAAGGAAAGCCTTCATTTCTTCTTTCTTCCTCTGGCGAAAGCAATTCTGTGTCGGAGAATAGCCCCATGCAGGCCGGATCCACTGTCGGCGTCGATACAGAGCTGCAGCTCTTCAAAGTTAAATTCTCGGAGAATGGAACTGAATGCGTGGAGTTGGACCTTGGTGAGCATGTCATCAATGCTCCTAGGCCGTAAACGTTGGATCCATTGATTCTGGTATGTTTCTTAAGTTTGCTGTATGGCAATTGTAACGAAATATTAAACAGTCAGAGACTCCACGAATTGATCAAGGATCCGTACCGTCCAGTGGAGAAAGTGGTTGCGAGTAATTACCACCTCGTTCTGTACAGGTAAACAAAGTCTGAGGTCATAGAGATAGAGTATGTATAACGCGCCCTATGGGCAAAGTCCTTAAGAACACCGGTGAACACGACAAATAGGATACTATTGTGTGTACGACGGTGTAAAAGACTAACTAGACTCTTAAGTAATCGTACAATACTTATAGTAACGGATTTATTATATAATTAATAATAAATAGAAAGATAAGATAGACCGTTTGGTCTATCGGCGGTGTCTAGGATGACCGTATCGCTGGATACGGTCAGTGGTGATTATGGAGAGGCGGAGGCGTTACACCCTCCCCCACCAGATTAACATCAGGGATGTGAATCGAAAATGGTAATGACATCATCACCATCCAAACCATTTCTAATTTGGTTTAACATAGAATGATCCCGCATCAAGTACGGGATTTAATTGATGCGGCGCATCAGATTTTTGGACTTGTCCGAATCAAACGATAGTGGGGCGTACCACTAGAATATGATTTGATTCGGAAATGTCCAAATGTTCAACGCGCAGACTCGGAAGTTTCCGAGTATTGCTTAATGAGGATTCTCAGTGAGAATCCGGGCTGAGGATAAGTAGTGATGCCCAGGTAAGGCATATTACCTGGGTGTCGGAATAAACCAATAAATCATTCGGAAGGTTTATCCTTTCCAATACTTAAGGAGGTGTCTGACTCATCGGGGTGTTCTGATGATTCAAGTTCATCGTCTCTATTCCTAGAAGAGACATAATATTTAGTGAGGGCCATGTGGTCCTCAATGCGTGTGACGGCTCTGACCATCACTTCTAATTTGGCATACTCCGGAACGATCCCCTCATTCATGAGTTGCCTGATAATATTGAAGGGTAATCCCTCAATGAAGCGTTTCCGCATTGTTGCATCATCCGGTGTTTGGAGCATCCGTGATGCCCATTGTGTAAGTGAGGAATAATAATCCCTCACACCCGTATCGGGTGAATACTCAATAAGGTCAAACTGCTGTGCAGCTTGATGAATGGTCATTGCTTGGATGCAACAATCAAAGACCCCAATAATGGCGCCTTCAAATGTCCACTTAAGGACAGTGCAGTGTATACCAGCGACTTCGTCGTTATACCAGTCAAGGGCTTTGCCCTGTAGAAACATGCCAAGCACGGCAGTCCATGTAGCATCGTAATTGTCACCGCACATGCGGTTGACTACCATCCATTGGAGAAGTGACATTAGCCACTGCTCGAAGACATCGACATCTGGAGATCCATCATAGACCTCCGGAGATGGAACTTTAAGAGCTTTACGGCTCTCAATGGGAGGGATAGGATTCCCTACCTTATCTTGAATTTGTTTATGGTACACTTTGTGTACCTTGTGTTTCCATCAGGAACGACATTCGTCGTTACCTGTTGTTTCTCGCATCTTAGATGCAAGTGAGCACAGTAATTTACGCTGCTCATTTTTAGTAATTTTACCCTTGTGGGTAGCAAATTTGTCTAGCCAAGAGGCATTAGACGATGAGTCAGTATTTGACTCAGTGTCACTTGGGTCCGATGATTCATCTGACCATGGGCTGCGTTTGCGGCCTTTGGATTTAGCACTCTTGTGCTTCCTCCCCCCTTCACGGGATTTTTTTGCTAGGAGCTTTTGCTCTCGCATTGTTGCTTGGTCCTGGAAAGGACTCGGCAGGTGGGATGTAAAATCGATCCCAGATTTCTCTGGGAGTAGTCAATTTGTCAACGGGTATTCCATCAACATTATATCCCACCATTTGGTTGGGAAGCCCAGATGGCGCAAATCCAAAATCTCGGAGACTGGCATTATGTTGGCGTTGAATCGCTCACCCAATCTTTAGCTACTCCCAACGGAAGCGGCTGTGGTTGCAACTCGGCCAATACCGTTGGTACTGGCATTGAACTTGGCTCTGGCACATTGCTGGGCGGCAATTTGGGCAGTCTTACGGTAGTGTGTACTACCGGAGGGGCAACACTTTGTGTTGCCGGGGCGATGGATATGGTAGTAGGAACTACCGGAAGGGTACCATGTTGTGGTTCCATACTGGAATGATTTCCAGTAGTGTTTGGTACAACTACTGGAGGTGTAATAATATTGGGTACCATTGGCGCCCTTGCAGTAGGGAAGTACATTGTACTTTCCTGTGGTGGTATCGCTACTACCTGATTGAAGTTACGAGGTAACTTTGGTTCACTTTTAATGTTCACTGCGCTTTGTGGTGAGCAAGATTTGGTCA